AAAAAGGACCAGGTTTGCTGGTCTGATAGAGCCTGGTGGAACCCCAGAGACTATGGCACTTAGTTACCCTTCAGGTCTAGAATTAAACCCACTTCTGTGGCTTCCAGCCAAACAAAAGAGAGGCATATGAGGTGAACATTTACATTAGGTAGATACACCCTTTGGAGAGATCAATCACAGGAGAATAGAAGGGCTGTGTATGCACAGGGAGACAGCTTGGCAGGCAGGAGTACATGGAGGGAAGGACGCAGGGAAGAGGTAACCATGGAGAGGAAGTAGGAAGAGAGCTGTTGCAATGTGGGAAATTGTAGTCAATGTCATGAGACAAAATGTGCATGAACTGCTGTATGGAAAATGCATTTTGCTCTGTAAACTTTCACCGAAATCACAATAAAAAATTAAAAAAGAAAAAACAAGAGTAAAGACAACAGGAGTGGGAGGTGTCCTCACGACGGTGTGGTTTTTCCTGATGGAGGAACGAGAGTGGGAAGGAGCGACAGTGGGCTGTGCACAGACCACGTGCTGAGATCCCAAGGGGACGGGAGCGGGCACGGCTGGAGTCACTCAGGCTGCGACCGCCAGTTCCTGTTCAGGACGCAGGCATGAATCACAAGTCCCCGTGTTAGGGACGTTCTTGTGCCCCAGGAAGCCCAGGGACCTGGGAGCAGAGCGCGGCCCCACCCCCGGGGAGGGTGCCCGGATCACGCACCTCTGCCAGCGTCCTGCCGAACTCGCTTCCTTCCCCCTGCTCGTCCTCCACAAAGTCGTAGGTCACGTAGTAACTGTATGAGATAAAAGGCCCTTCGGGCCCGGGCTCCGGGTCCAGGAGCGAGGAGTCCAGAACTCCTGTGACATTCCCGATTGTCACCATAAGCTGTGCCTCATGGGCTAAGAGATCTGCAAGGGGGACAGGAGGGCAGAGGGAAACCGTGGGGGTGAGACCTGCAGGACAGGCTGCCAGAGAGGGAGGGGAGTGAGGGCCATCCGTCACCCCCGCAACAGAGGACTGGGGGTTAGGGTCTGTCAGACTCAGGTTCAAATCCCAGCTCTGGTGACTGTGATCCATGCGGTGGTAATGTGTGTTGCACGGCCTCACATTAATACCAAGTTCTGCAGCGACATATGGAGTCAGGAGAGCCTCCACAGCCACAAGTTCCCCCCCAACTCTGCTACCATGGGTGACGCTCCCTTCACCAAACAGCCCTCTGTATCAAACACACGGGAAGCAGTTCCTGTTTAACCCTGGTCCCTGCCAGCATGGAATTATTCAAAGAACCCAATCACCTCCTCGCCTGGGAACAAGAGGGCACTCCACTCTCTGGCTACTACAAAGCCTGCCTCACACAGCCCCTCGTTGTTCACTCTGCCCCCAAGTGCCACGCTCATCCTCATGTGGCCCTGGTGGCACATGGTGTCATCCTTTCCTGGGCTAAGTACAGGCAGACCTTGGAGATGCTGTGGCTTTAGCTCCAGACCACAATAAGCAAACACTACACTAAAGTGAGGAGCTCTGGTAGCATAGTGCCTAAGGCACTTGACTGCTAACCAGAAGGCTGAAGGTTCAAACCCACCAGCCACTCCTCGGAAGGAAGGTTGGGCATTCCTACTTCCGTAGTGATACTGCCTTGGAAACCCAAGGAGGGGTCGCTATGAGTCGGGGCCGACTCGATGGCAAATAACAACAACAACAACACTAAAGTGAGTCCCACAGGTGTTTGGTTTCCCAGTGCATATACGAGTTATGGTTACACGCTATGATGCGCACAACGGCACGATGGAAACATTTGAAATAGCTGAGAAAGACCAAAATGTGACATAGACATGCAGCGAGCACACACTGTTGGAAAAATGGAACCAACACGCTCACAGGGCACAGAGTTGATACGAATCTGCCATTGGTCAAATTTGCAGCATCTGCAAAGCACAGTAAACACAGTGACGCGAGGCGTGCCTGGCAGCAAGACACTGCCGTCGTTTTCACCTGCCTTGTGTCGGTGGTCGCGCAACCAGCCATCCCCAAACCCTAGGGCAGGAAGTCCTCCCTCACCTACCAGGTGAGGAGGAAATGACCAAACAGAACAAGCAGAACAGATCGGAAAAAGGGATGGGCCCAGAGAGGGTGAGCCATCAGGAACGTCCGGTGCCTCCAACAGGACACACAGGATGCAGTTACCATCCGTGTTTTACCACCTCGACCTTGAGCTGGCCCTGGTGCAGCTTGATTGCAGGCCACCAGGGGGTGATCTCCAGCCACGAAGGAGGTTCAGAAATTGGTTTAGGACAACCACTTTCCTGTGGCCTAGGACAGGAGGGGACACGACGACCTGCCTGCCACCACGTCTTTGCCCAAATTCCAACCACAGGCATCACAATCCAGGAGAAACCTCTGGCCGTGATGACAAGCTGTACCTGACTGGGGTCTGGGACGGACAGCACGTCCCCCCGAGGGGTGGGTGGGCGAGGCACCCCCTCCACCCTGCCCCCAGAGCCTCACCCCCGTTGCTGCTGAGCCCCCGGAACTGATGCTTCTCGTTGGGCGTCACGGTGATGTCATCCAGCACGCAGAGTCGCGCCAGGCTGTCCACGGTGAGGCCTCGGTAGTAGGGCACCAGGGCCATGGGGTTCCCCTGCAGCACCAGCAGCCGCAGCCGCCGCAGGGTGCACAGGCCGCCCAGCACGCTCTGCAGATCCGCCACGTCGTTGAAGCCCAGGTCCAGCGAGATGAGGTTGGGCCTGCAAGGGGCGCACGGCCGCCTGGGGTCAGGGCGCCGGGGGCCTGCCCGGCCCGTCTCCCCGGCAGCTGGTGTCCAGGGACGGGCAAAGGGCTGAGGCTGAGCACGAGGGTGGGAGCCTCTGCCCACCCTCGACCCCACGAGGCCCTCCTGGAAAGGCCCTCCCCCCGCTGCCCCCCACCCACTGCGACCCGAGTCCAGCCCATCCTGCTCCCGCCACACTTCTGCTCCCAGGGACCTCCGTTCTCGGCTGGACACTTTGGTGTCTCCCGTGGAGCCTGACCCGGAGTTGACATCTAGAAGGTTCTCCACAAATGCTTACTGACGAAGGGAGGCTGAGGGAAGGCTTGGGAAGAGCAGCGAGTGGGGAGCAGAGGCAGGTACGGGGCCCCGGGCGGTGGCGCGGGAGTCGGGGCCCCGGGCGGTGGCGGGAGTGGGGGCTCCGGGCAGTAGCGGGAGTGGGGGCTCCGGCAGCGGGAGAGGCCTCTGCAGAGCCAGACCGGCCCGTGGTCACGGGGAGCCCGGGTTTGCCTCTCAGGGGAAACGAGGGAAGCCCAGCACGCGGTGAGGCCCCAGGAGTCGTCCATCCAGCCTGGACAGGACCCGGGAAAGGGGCGGAGGATGGGGCTTCACGCGGCCGCCAACGGCTTCCAACAGAGGCAAGAAAAACCCAGAGACCAATCAGCAGCACCACCTCCCACGGTTCCGCTGATGACGCCCCTCGGGTTTGACCAGCTCCCTTCATCTCCTTTTCTGGCTGCCCCGTCTGTGAGGCGCACAGGCAGGCAGCGAGCGGGAAACGTGTACCCGGAACATGGCATGGGGACAAGCGTGTGGCTCTCACCTGCTCTGAGCCTGCTGCAGGAGAACCGGGGGACAGGCCCAAACCCTGCTGATAAGAAGTCATCCCTCCTTAAAGGTCAGAATGGTGAAAATGGAGGTTCAGACACACGTGTCCATGAGGTGCCACTCTGCACTAAGCAGGTTGCCCAGGCTCATGGCTAGTGTGTTTTCAAAATGCCTGCTACTCAGCTTCCGGACCGAGAGTGTGAAGTCAGCCGTCCCGGAAGGGCCACATTAAATGGTGTGCCTTCCTTCCATTGTCACCCTCTCTGACCAGAGCCAGTGGCTGTCAAGTCGGTTCCGACCCATGGTGCCCCACACGTGCTCCACGGGGCTTTTCATCTGGTTTTTCGGAAGGACATCACCAGGCCTTTATTCTGAGGCAGTCTGGGCGGACTTGAACCTCTGACCCTTGGGTTAGCAGGCCAGCGTGTGAACCGTTCACACCACGCGAGGACTCCATGTACCCAAAGGGAGAAAGAATCCAGAATTGTCTGCAGCCGGGACTCCTCCTGAGGCAGCCTGGGTGGGGAGTGGACTAGAGGGAAGGACCCCCTCACCCAGTCATTCTTCTGCCTCTGAGAGCCACACACGAGGATATTTTCCAGGCTGGGGGTGGGGTGGTGTTGATTCACCCTTGCTGCTCTTTCAATCACAGTCAGCTAAGCCCATGGAAATGCTATCCCAGGGTATGGAAATCCCGGGGTTTTCCCGGCATGCTTTGAGAAGCCATCTTGGCCCAGCTGCTTCTGATGGCCTTTCACTGGTGGCCACTGCTCTGGCCATGCCCCTCCATACCGTGATTTCAAGTTTTCCACTGCTGACCACCAAGGCCACTGCCCACCGGTCAGTGTGTCCTACTGTGGCAGTTCGTGTGCTGCTGTCATTTTGGAAGCTATGCTACCGATATTTTGAATCCCAGCAGGGAATGGTGGACGGGTGTCAGCGGAGCTTCCAGACTGAGAGAGACTAGGAAGAAAGGGCTGGTGACCTACTCCCCAAAACTAGCCAATGAAAACACTGTGAGTCACCATAGAACACTGTCAGCATAGCGCCAGGAGGGGGCCCAGGTGGGAAGGCACTCAAATACACAGTGGATCCAACAGTGGGCTTGAGGGGACCCACAGTGGTGAACATGGTGCAAGACCAGGCAACGTTCTGTTCTGTTGTCCCCAGACTCACCATGACTCAGAGACTTGACAGCCACTAGGAAGACAGCCATGATCCACCAAGGAAACAGAGTCAAGCTCAAGGCCTGGGAGGACCTCCCCACACAGCCTCTACAGCATGCTGAACTGTCAACAACAACAAGACATCCAGATGGAACAAAGGGTGGTCTCTCAGACATTATCAGCTGGGGACAGTTCTATCCCCTAGAGACCCTCAGAAATGTCTGGAGACATTTTGGTTGTCATACATGGGGGTGAGGTGTTACTGTTGTCATCTAGTAGGTGGGGACCAGGGATGCTGTTCAATGTCTTACAATGTACAGGACAGGCCCCCCACCCACAAAGACTCACCCAACCCCAAAGGTCAATAGTGCCAAGGCTTAGAATCCCCACTCTAAGGTATGGCATCAGCATACCCTCCCACCACCAGGTGCCCTTCCCTGGGGTTTAGTGGGATTTCTTGAGTGGGTCACAGAAATAAAGCCTAGGTCTGGAGTTAATGACCAACCAGGAGTTAGTATAAAAAAAAGAAGAGCTATGTTCTTCCAGCCACCAGGTTAGAAGTTCCCAAACTTCTTAGCTGTAGTCTCAGGGGACATCTAGTTCAATTGGTATAACACAGTTCACAAAGACAATGTTCTACATCCTACTTCGGTGAGTAATGACTGGGGTCTTTTTAAAAAGCTTGTGAGCAGACATCTAAGATGCAACTATTAGTCTCTCCCATCCAGAGCAAAGAAGAGGGAAGAAACTCAACCACTCAAGAAAATCAACAGACCACGAGTCCCAGCCTCCATGACTCTGAGACCAGAGAGCAAGACGGTGCCTGGCTCCCACTGCTGACCACTATGACCAGGAGGATCACAACGGAAGGTCCTGAACAGAGTAGAAGAAAAATGAAGAAGGGTCAGACAATGGCCCTCAGACACCGTTCAGACCTGGAACTGAACCCACTCCTGGGGATCACCTTTCAGCCAAAGAACAGGCCTAAAGGGTGAACAGTAACCCCCGTGAGGAACGCGCTCCTCAGAACTATCAACCACAAGACCCAAAGGGCAGCGTTTGCCCAAAGACAAAGCTCAGATGGCGGGAAGGAGGAAAAGAAGGTCGAATGGAAATGGCGAGCCCAAGGAGGAAGGGGGAAGAACATGTTACATTGAGGGGATTGCATCCAATGTGACAAAACAAAACGTGTATAACTTGCTGAATGAGAAACTAATGTGCTCTGTAAATTTTCACCCAAATCACAATAAAATTTAAAAAAAAAAAAAATCACCCAGACCTAACACTGAATCCCTTCCCCCGCTTCCCACCCAGGGCTCCTGTGTTACCAGTGGTCGGCGGTGTATAAGCTTTCCATGGGGCTCAGAAGTTTGTTGTGGCCGAGGCCCAGGTGCAGCAGGCCTGGGGGCAGGTGGGCGCACAGGCTCTCCCTGCTGGTGATCTCGTTGCCGTAGAGCTCCAGCACCTGGGTGGGGAGGACAGGGGACAGGGAGTGTCCAGAGGGAGCCAGGTCAAGCCCGAGGACGCCCTGGCCACGTGTGAGGGGAACCATGACTTGGGGAGGGCATGCTTCACAGCGTCCCACTGGGCTCCCTTTTGAACATTCAACGGAGTATTTCCGCACCAGGTTGGGGAATCGTCTTTGCTTCTGTGAAGGACGCTTGGGAGTTTGGAGGCAGTGTTTGTGCAGGGTGGGGAGGAGGTGCATGACACGTGATGTCTTCTCAGCCCACGGGAGGATGTCTCTGGGGGTGCAGAAGGGGACCCTCGATGGGCTGAGGAGTGAAACCTCAGGGTGACAGAGTGTTTCTTTTCCCCCTATGCTTCTCACCAAAAGCCTCACCTGGTTTCTTCTTGAGATGGGGACAAAGCTGTGTTTCTGAAACCCTTCTGCCCCAAGTCAACTCTTGTCAGAGTTTAGTTTAAAACAGGGACCATTAAGCCAAACAGTCATGATACAGCCCGGCCTGCCCTTCAGAGGTGCCCCTGTGTGGTGTGGGTGGCTAAGTTCCTGGCTCCTAAACAAAAGGTTGAAAGTTGGAGTCACCCCGGAGGAGCCTGGGAAAAAAGTCCTGGCTATCTGCCTCCAAATAGTTACCGCTGAAAGCCCATAGTGCACCGTGCTACCCTGACACGCACGGGGTCGCCATGCGTCAGGGTCGGCCGATGGCAACTGGTCAAGCTCTCAGTAGGCTGACCCTCAACTCACAGTCCCAGCCGCATGACCAAACGTTCTGGGCCTCCGGGCAGCCCTGGCTCGAAGGCCCTAACAGGACCTCACCTTGAGTGTTGGGGGCAGATTGATGGCATCGACCACCTTGATTCGATTGGCACTTAACACCAGCTCTTCAAGCTTCTGAAACTTCAGGAGACCTTTGTCCACCAGGCTCACCTGGAAGGAAGGAAGGATGGTGCAAAAACGGCAAGGAGGCCACATGTTCTGACCTCCTCTAACCCTCCAAGAGGAAGACAGGATTACCAGCAGTAACCCAAGGCCTATTCCTGCCAGGCCAGACATGCTGCCTCCCCCCTCCAGCCCTTGTTCCAACCGTTCCTCCCAAAGCACCCACCACCTCCCTCCTGGGTTCAATAATTCACTGCAGTGGCCACACAGAGCTCACAGATTACGGGGTTTATTAGGGAAGCACCAGGCTACAACTCAAGTTCAGGAAGAACGCTCAGTCTCCCTCCCACCGTCCCTCAGCCAAGAGTCTCTTGCAGTCTCTTTCCCAGCAGTGCTGGTCCCTCAGTGTCTCACTCAGCAATGTGTGTCTCTTGCGTCTCTTTCCCAGCAACACGCATCTCTTTCAGGGGCGTGTGTCTCTTTCGGCAGCACGTCTTCCTCAACCAGCAGTCAGAGAGAGTTCTGCCTCCAGGAGGCCTCTTTTTGAGCCCGGAAGGGTGGCCAAACTAGCCAATTATAGCATCAGAACTCTAAGCACCTGAGAGAGAATGGGAACCTCCTAGAACATTATTCTGTGCCACGCCCAACAGAAATACTCCAGGGGGACAACTTCAGCAATCAGGAGCTCCTCAGTTGCTCATAGAAAATCCCACCTTGGAGTTCACAAAGACTTATGGGTAGAAAAGCCACACTAAGTAATTTACTACACCGCAGATGGGCTCTTGTGAGCAAGGAGCCATGACGGCAGAGGTCATCTACTTCAGGCAAACAACAGCACGTTCATCTTCAGAAAGGGGCCCTGCTGTACGGGGGTTAAGTGCTTGGCTACTAACCAGAAGGGTGGAGGTTTGAACCCACCAGCCACTCCACAGGAGAAAGATGTGAAGGACATTTGGGAGCTTGGCTCCTGTAGATTAATCCTTGGGAACCCTGTGAGGCAGTTCTCTGTCCCACAGGGTCACCATGAGTCGGCATCGCTGTGACGGCAGTGGGTATCCATCTTCAGAGAGTTACTCCCCGACAGCCCCCCCACTGCCCACGGCACCCCCACACTCTGCCCCTCTGCTCAGCCTTTCCTGCACTCCGCAGCCTGGATCCAAGTTCTCAGCCTTCCCAAGGACACCCTCCCCGCCCTGCTTCCGGCCACCACCCCTTTATAGACTATGTGCGCCCACAGACAGGACTCCCACCTTCTTTGCTGTCCCTAACAGAGCCCTGTGAGTCCTAGCCTTGACTGACCCACTGGCATGGAGGTGGATAGGCCCCTAAGGAATCAGTGTGGCTTCCACAGACCGGGGTCAGGCCAGAGCCTCTGGGCCTACCCATGAAAGTCCCAGTTACAGTGGCATGAGACGTTTACCCTCCCCTCCCCCAGGATTACTGTGCAGGGCGTGATCTCTCTGCAAAGCAACAGCTCAGAATGGCGGAGACCTAGGCTCCACGCAAGTTTCAGGTGCTGTTATTGACATAAGCGAGGAGGACTTCTCAACCACTGAAATTAACGTAGTACTATGCTCCCCCCCCCACTCCCACCGCCACAGCATAAAGGGAGTAAAACCAACGGGGAGTCTGGAAGGTCTTCACGAGGAGCCATGCAGGTGACCGCAAACCAGCTGGAGAAGGAACACAGTGGACTCACTCCTCCAAGAGTGAAGGAAGCCAGCAGCGAATTACTTACCACGGCCTTTCTAGCCATGGGCTGTGTGACTCCCACCAGATGACTGGGTTGTTGTGTTGTTGTCGTTACGTGCTGTTGAGTTGGACCCGACTCATAGCGACCCCTCCTTGGGTTTCCAAGGCAGTATCACTATGGAAGTAGATTGCCCAATCGTCCTTCCGAGGAGTGGCTGGTGGGTTTGAACAGCCAGCCTTCTGGTGAGCAGTCAAGTGCCTTAGGCCATTACGCTACCAGAGCTCCCAGATGATTTGGGACTGTACAAATGTGAGGGGCTAACGGCCAACAAAGGGGATTGGGTAGCTTGTTAATAATGTAAGTAAGGGACGTGGCATCCTTGTGGGGGGGGGGGCAGTGCAAACATGGCACCCAGCACCCTGATGTGGGAACTGGTCAGTGCTGCCATCTTGCTAGGTTCAAAGAGCACTCCGAGGCAGAACAGGGGACCTCTCTGCCATGAAGATAGAAGGGCTAGGGTTCAAGTGCACCCTTGGGCCAGATATCCCTGCACTGAGACGGCAGAGGGATGCCGGCGGTGGAGGCAGCAGGACCAACAGACCCGCACGAGCCAGAGCAGTGGGCTTCCCACCCACCGAGAGGGAAGGCTGGGC